AAAAAAAAAAAAAAAAAAAAAAAAGGGACAAAAAAATGCGCATAAAAAGAGGCTAATTCGATTTAATTAATAGCAAAAACATCCATGCATTTGAGTAAACAAAATTAAAGCAAGCATATAACCAATGGTTCTGAAAATGCAACCCAGCACAATGAGCAAATCATGAACTAAGACTCAGATTGTCTGAGTAGTTTGCATTTTCCCACTTTTATCAGCAACGTATTTTATGGAGTTTTTCCAGAGAAATGACTCCGTGGCAGCAATTTTTTAGTAGTTCCCAATATACCTTGAACCAAGAGAAAAACCAATTCCCCATAAGCTGAAAATGGAAGTCTTTTGTGGACACAATAAGCCAGAGCAATAGTGTAACCTACGACTTCTAGCTCAAAGGATATAACACCAAGTCCTCTGATACTCTGATGTTTCAAGATCTTCATAATCTGTAGGAAAAAATTTTGTATTACAATGATGGCATGTAAAGAACTAACGACGAAAATGGAACAGGGAGGGGGCCAATCTTCCCATCGTAGGATGCATACAAGAGAAATGGTAAAAATTATTCAGGCAGAAACGTTGAACAGGAAGAAAACAATAAATAAATAAATATTTGAATTTAAAGGAAGCGTGGGGATCTTCTGCGGTGATTGATGCAAGTTTAAGAGATTTACTTAGGACCTAATTAGACTTGGAACAGGAAAAAGTTGCAATTCTTAGCTACACCCAAAAAAGTTTAGGTATCAGATGCTTACTTATAACTGAACTAATTGAACCTAACAAAAATTATTAGCAAAATTTAGCCTAAAAAGTTTATTATCAAGATTAACCATTAAAAAATTATTATCAACCGCCACTTTACACAACACAAAAATTGTTCACAAACATTTCACGGGTCTTGAATTGCATTACACGGAATTAGAGGGCAAACCGAACCTCACGAATAAAACCCAGGCGAACATTTATTACAAACGCTATGATTCCATCACATTTCCGTCGATAAAGTCAAAACAGATATGTTTATAGTCTAGGGAGGGAAGGCAGAATAGCTTGCCTGAGGAAGTTTGACGGTGGTTGAAGCGGCGACAATGCAATAGCCGAGAAGCTTAGAGATGAGGGGTAGCAGGCAATCTTTCTCCGGGAACTTGCCGTGGTTTAGAGCTCCGAAAACACAGGTGAAATCCATTCCAAAAAACTCCTTCTCCACCAGCGTTCTTGAGATTACAACGCTGAGAATACAGGATGAATACAGGATCCTTCACTTGACGGACTTGTCGACTTGGCGCCAAATCAATCCGCCGCTGTTCTTCATGGGAATGAAATTCAGGCTACAAGACGGAATGTCGTCGATCTGATGATGGGCTTCATGTTAAAAAATAATGGGCCGACGGTACACGAGCATGGGGGCCCAAATTTTTCCCTTCTTAGAGCAAGGGTCAATACATCGCAATCTAACCAATAATAAGTAATAATAATAATAATAATAATAATAATAAATCTGTTCTAATTTAAAATTTGATACCTGGATTCAGGATTGTTGCATTTGGGACCCTTTCTTTTCTCTTCCTGTAGCACAAAAGTAAAGGCAATGGAACCTAAAGCAATTAAAAGAAAAAGCTGCTCGGAATTGGGAATTAAAGGGGCTGACTCATCCTCTGAAATCATGCTGCGTCTGCTTCCTCTTCCCGCCCCGTGCTCCACTCGTTATGTAATGTAACAATAATTGTGTATGATATTGTCCACTTTAAGAATAAATTCTCATGGTTTTACTTTGAGTTTCCCTATAAAACTTTATACTAATAACTAATGGAGATGCTATTGCTCACTTATAAAATCACGATCTTCCACTAAATTAACCGTGTAATTCACTCCTAATAATCTTCGAGAGTGATTTTTATACAAATCATCTTAAAGTTTGATTTTATATATTTTAAAACTGAATTTCATGCCATAAAATTGATTGAAAATAATTAAAGACGAATTTATAATAGTTTTTTTTTTTTTTTTTTTTTTTAAAAC